ATTTGATTACTAATGATTGTTCTCCCCGAGAAGACGTCGATCTCTCTATCTCTATTACAAATAACATAAACATCGAGACTATCGATATCTCGAAATTTCGTCACGCTTATTCCTCATTGGTTCGGTCGTCTGAGGCGGTTAATTCAAGTTCAGTACTCATTTAATTTTTAAATTTTCAATCATGGATTTTTAAAATTACACCGCGTTGGAGCGCACATTCGGTCTCGTATGCGAAACATACAAAATAACGAGAAACATGTGATTAATATATGAGCTATGAATTGGTTGTATTTTACGTTGAGAAATAATCGTTGGCGTTGAGAATAATTAGTGGTATAATGAGTTGAGTGTTGGGCAGGGCTGCTGTGCCTCGCACCCAAAACACAAAAGGTCACGACAATAACGGAAAAATGGCCGCGCGCTTGATGGCTTCACTGTTCTCAACCCTTTTCTTTTTTCCTTCTGGAGAAGACTCACTTAATCTTCTTAAACTGAGTCAATTTGCATGGCTCAATCGCTCCTCCTTTGTCAAATTCATGGTAATTCACTGAACTTCTCTCCTTTCATTATAGGTCTTAACAATCTGGAATTACAATAATTTTCCGATTTCACATTAAAATTTTGCTCCATGAAATGCAAAAAATTGCCATTTGCAATTATCATTAATGATTACTTAATTCTGACAAGAAATTTGAAAATAAATTCACTTCACATGTACAAATTCGAGTCCGTCTACCAAGTGGTATTTTGAGAACGATTTTTAGGTATCATATTACCAGTTAGGCTCTGTACAATACACATACCCTGGTCCATTCAAACGTCAATCCGCCACCTTTGCTAGTATTTACCTCACGCGTTTGCTTGTATACCTTCATCTTGTTTTGTCTTAAACCTCGGCAGAAATCTTATGGAATGAGAATCTAGTACTCAGCTGTAATACTCGAGCTCTGAGAATATGAAAAAATTACACTGATAGAGCGATTCATTTATATCAAACATCATTCGTTAACCATTAATGAATGGTATAGTTGAATATAGTCACACAATTATTCCTTGATATTGTTAACGAATCAGTAGTTGAAGCAAATGATGAGGAATATATGCAATAATATGAACACATTTTTGGTTGAACCAGTGCAATGACTAACCCCTAACATTATTGGATATCACTCTTGAATTATTTATTTAATCAATGAGTTTCAGCCATTTTATTTGATCAAATTTTCCATTGAAGTTGATTATAAAGACTTAAAGAAGATCACAATAATAGACTTAACTGCACAACGTTTCGTATGTTCAAGGCATGAAGTTCATTCATTTAGAAAGAACTAGAAAATAACAATATAATTTGATTTGAAATAATGTTTCGTAAATTAATGAATAAATTCGTTTAATTTCTAATTATTGGATATCTTTCTCAAATTATACAATAGCTATCTAGAGTGACAAATGCTTTGGTGAAGATAATTTGATTATTGTCAAAGTGAATGTGGAATAAATGATTCATCAATTCTGAAAACATCAATTTCATTCGCTTTTGTTTGATCGCATTGATCATATGAAGTGTTCTAGGTATTAGTTATTAAAAAATTGATACATATAACAGATAAATCCGTGAAACAGATCCAAGGCAGTCTATTTATTAATAATAATTGAATGCTCCTATCAGTGTACTCCCTTCAAAATATAATCATCTTGAAAAAACGATGAAAAGCAGCAATGAGCATAAGAACTATTGTTTCTAAAGGTGTTGCAATGTTCATAGCCATCTTCATATGAACATTCACCACATTTTTGTTTGTTTCAGCTACTGCGTAGGGAATCGTCTCTATATGGTCCGTTTGAAGTTGGCAATCAACCAGATTGCCTATCAAGCCCCGTGTACACCCCCTTTGCTATCATTTTTTATACACATATGTACGCATATACGTCCCTCTTATTCTCGTGAATTCTTCTTCGATGATCATGGAGACGCTTCGACACCCTTCTCACCGTTTTCATTTCCATCTCGATTTTTTTTTACCTCAAAATATTTTCCCTTTCGAGGAGTTGGCTGCATAACCGTACATACTGCTAGTACATAACGAATGCGTGTGTGTACATGTAGAAGTGTATGTGTTAACATAGGACAGAAGGCCCTCACTAGGCGTATGAAGGGGCGACGTGAGTACCACAATGTACTGGGGCTTACTCTAATACGTGTCTGGCTATGTACAACCCGATACTGATTAGTACTTCAAAGCAACATTACACAAAAAAAGCGTTTTATGGATTAACCGCAGAGAAAGAGAGAAAGAGAGAAAGTGAGAGTGTGGGAGAACGAAAGCAACTGGAGTGTGTATTCCATTCAAGTGAAAAAAATTGCGGAAACATAAGAACAAGGAAAAAAAATTAACAGATCATAAATCCACTTGGGATTTATTCGCGTATAATAAGAAGAAATAGGGGAAAATTGTTGTTCAATTGATCTGTGGGGCCCCTTTATGGGTTTCAGTGGTCACAAGAGCTGTGTACATGAAGTTCTAATTGAGTTGAAACATCTTACTATTGAGCGGTAGACAGAATGAGAAAATTATTCCAATTCCATTATTTCTTTAATGGACTTTGATTATTATTTTGAAAAACCTGTATTTTTTCAATGAAATTATTTCGAGAGCACCCAGATTTGGGTTTGATTATAATAATTAGGGCGGTTTTGAGAATGATTATTTTATTAGCC